ATCAGTGGGGCACTTCATGTCAAATTCTAGGGTACTCGAGGTTTCAGACCTACTCACTCTCATCATCAGCATCATAATGCAGAGGCACATCTATTAGAGTCATGCATGGTATTTTTAATAGATCTCCATCTGTTTTCTGATTAAAAGCCCTGAGCAGGATTATAAAACCATTGAAGTGACTCCCTATTTCTAATGGATGATACTATAAAATATATATAATGTTTCTAAATGTGATAGCAAACCAGTTGCATCTGTTGTCCTTTCTTCAGTGATCTCTCCCACCTGAGCTCCTACAAAGCATTCTGATCAACAGCGTCTTCTTCTGACATGATGGGATATGCAAAGACCACACTAACCAAATCTGGCTAAAACCTGAAGGGCATTTCTGACCTACTCATGTCAAAACAGAAGAAAACAGAACAACTGATTGCCAACTGGACCTTCTAAATCTGACCAACTAAAAGAGTTGGTCTAAATTGTATTGTGTCAGGCCTCTCACTGAATAAAGCTAAACATTATGGGCCCAGCTGAATTTCGATGTGCCATGAATGGCTGCTTTACTGTGCCTATGTCAGACTTTCCATGTATAACTGAAAATGAATAAAGAAGCTCTTTGAGAAAAAAGTGGCATTTATTCTGAAGCAGGGTACATTTCCTTCCACACTGCTATGCTCACTAATCAGTGCCAGGAGCTCTCATTCAGACCTTTCATCAATAACAGCCAAGGATAAGAGAACAGAAGAGGTCTGCAGTCAACTGTAAAAGCCAATTTATACTGTGCCAAAACTAGTGCAATGCTAAGCCCACACGATTTTGGAGTTAAATGCAGAGTAAGAAGCTGTTGATCAGAGTGTTTAAAAGGATGCGGACTGGGAAAGATCAATGAAAAAAGGATAACAACTAACTCAGTTTTGCATGGAGAATATGTATGACCCTGTAAACACTGTATTAACTTTTCAGTCAGGAATAATGGGCATAGATCTCTTCACATGAACTCTGTAACAGCAAATCAATTATACCAACATTCAGAAAAGCTGTAAGCCAACATTCCACTGAATGCTGAATCTGTCAGCACTGGGAGGCAGAAGTTCCCTGTCACTAGGAAGCACCTTCCTCAGAAATACAAAAATGTGTCATCAAAAATGATTGTATAAATTTGTACTATAAAAACATATGCCTACATGAGGTCTGTTTGAATATCCTTGTTGCCAACATTTTTTGAGCAACACGAGTGCCCTCCAGAACATTTTAGAGGTCTCCTGAAGGTCTCACTAAAAAATGAAAACAAATTAGAAAGTCATCACAATGGAAAAGTCACACGGGAATACTTGGTGTGGGAGTCATGCCTTCTAATTCTGGTCATCTAAATTTTAGTCCAACATAAAGTAATTCTCTAGGATGTTTCTAGTGGCTGTTTGGGATTGCCTTTCTCGCTCCATAAGCCAGATTTATCTTTTTCATATGATGGGAACACAGAATTGGCCAGTGCCTCAAAAGGTACCTACATGTTCTCTCAGTTTTGTGCTCTTTGCAGCTCTAGAACAATGGGTTTTATTAACAAATGTTCATTTAGGAGACCTGACATAATGGGTTTAATTCCATTGGTTTGGAAAATTCCAAGTCAATACCAATTTACTTTTATTTTTTAAATAATTTGAAAAAACTCTGTATCTTATTTTGCCACTCTTCAAAGCTGTCAAATGTTGATAGACACAGAAAAATATGTCCCTGTTACAAGAAACAGTTTAAGTAAAGGTAAGTTATGTGTCATTCTTTCATGATCTTTTATAATGAAAACTGTCAAAACATCTTGGGTCAAATAGGGATATTATTAAAAAGGAGCATAATACAAATATATTTACAGCATTGACTAAATTTTCTACTATCTGGTAGGAGCAATTATAGTAAACTAACTCTACAGCATAGGAAAATCCTGTACATTCAGTGCCCTGTACTTTATAGAATATAAAATGCTAAAGAGCTAAGAATATAGTACCTGCTTAAATATGTCACAAAAATATTGCAGTTCCTTGTTTCTGCTCCCTAGAAATTGTGTCTCTCACACACATACATACAAATATGTAGCTGAAACATTTTCTTCTACCTAACTCTGCTGTCAATGACATACCAAAAAGACATACTTATGTAAAAGTTTCTGTAGTATGCCATGTGCCCCTACAAAGCGATAGTCATTCAGTGGTAGTAGACAGTCTCACTACAAATGCTTTAAGAGCTGAGCTGGGATCTCTTTCTACATTCTTATATAGCCCCTGTTACTATCAGTTCAAAAGCTTTTCAAGTTGGCCCATCATAAATTCTGAGATATCTACGCAAAATAAAAGATCAATTCATTACTTCTCAAATTTATGAACTCTTGGAAATATTTTTTTTAATTATGCTGCCTCTTTTGGTGGCAATACCTTTCTACTGCACTGGTAAATGTGGCCCGCTGTGCCAAGTATTGTTACTTTCTGTACAGATCATATGCAAGGAAGCAGTGAAGTTGAATACGAGTGAACCACATATAAAAGCATTTATAGAAATACATATTTTTGCATCCTAACTGCAACTGTTAATGAAACATTGACTAAACCCTCAGGATGTTTGAAGGGGTTTAACAAGATTGCCCACAGAACATGGTTCTTTAAAATATTCAGGCTTTTAATCACCTGCAGTTAATGGTTGCTACAATTCTGTAATGGGATATCACAGAGTGAGAATCTTGGATTTCAACTGAAATGGAAATAAAACACAAAAAGAACTTGATAAGTAATGAATATAAGACCCATTGAGTAAATCAGAAAAATGTCTCTGTATGTATCCAGTGCAGTCCTCATATGCTGCTGCGTTTGTAAGATACCAAGAGACCTGATTTGGGGACAACCTGTGACAAATACACAATTATTGAACAAAGGCTATCTTTACTTTTTCTGTATCCTGCCTGTCCATGCCTTCAGATATGCTATATATTATTATATACCCTATGTTTTCTTATGGATGCTAAGTCTGTTTTACTTGGGAACAATGCAAAAATAGCTTTTTACATTAACAGAATCAGTGTTATGTCTTGCGTGAAACAGTAGACAATAAAGCTTACAATTTTAGCCAAAAGAGATCATATCTGACGTTCCAAAAGATGTTCATTGCATTGCTGACAAGCTTGATAGAAAAGCAATTCCCATTTTCCACTTATTTTCCATTGAAATTAGTTCATTATTCCTTTAACATCCCTATCAGAATCCTGAGCGAAAGACAAATCATCAATTAAGTACGACTTTAAAAAAAGTATGACCTGAAAAATCTTTCCATTCTAAATAAAAATATAGGAAATTAAAGGATGTAAGAGAAAATGTTATTCTAATAAATGTCGGTGTTACTAGAAATGCTTGTTGTGTAACTGTTTTCTTCCCCTGTGTAACACAACCCTTTTTGCCAAAAGTGTAGTATTTATTTAACATCTTTAATAGAAAAAAGGAGCTTCTGCTGACAGCTGCTTATTGCATTTTTGGTTAGTGTAAATTTAACAAAAATCTGTAGTTTTATGAAGCTAACACAGCAGCAGCAGATGGACGACAGCTGAAGCACCAGCCAAATGTAAAGGAATTATAGCAGGAGTAGAGAGGGCTGAATTTTGCCTGCTTAAGATTACAGGCTACTTATAGTTTATATACTGACACAAATAGCTCTAGCAGCACAATGTTGCCATAGAAACTTGTAGACCAGTAAAATATTCCTCCAGCTTTCCACCAATGGAGGGACAGGAATACAAAGCTTGATATGGTAATGAGAGCCACCAGGGGATGATGAATATGAACTGATTGAGGGTGCGGGTTAAGTAAGACCTTAACAAGCCTTTAGCAGTGAAGAATGGTTATGACTTCCCTAGTTAATACGCTGGCATACTTAATTCTCTAAGATCCCCCACATTTGTTGACAGGAAAATATTTCACTGAAATATTTCTTTTTTTCCTAGGGATTACACTGTCAGACATATTTTGCATGTTTTTATTAATGTTTCTACTGGTTTTACATACTGGGGTCTTTGGAGGAGAGGGGTACAATACAAAATAACACAGACTGTGGCTTCAGACCTCACAAAACTGTACTTTATGAATCAAATTAAGTAGAATTAGCGCATTTAAACTGATTTTAGTGTTTGCACCGTTTAATAATACCAGTTAAAAACTGCAAAATGAGCTGCTGTAATTCTCAGTCCATGTCTAGAAATCTACTTCTAGTTCACTCACTTACTAATTGCATATGCAGGCATTTTGTTCTGGTCAAGGACACAGTCAAATTTTTCTCATGGTTGTTGCTGATTGTTTTGAAAAATATAACATCTCCATCAATAGAGAAACTTTCAATTTGCTGGAATTTCAGTTAAAAAACCCCAACCAAACAACAAAAGCCAACAAACCAAACCAAATGAAACAAAAACCTTCTATGTTTTTTTCAGCAATAGTTTTCATGGTGTTCTGTAGCCTTTACAAGATACATTAGTACGTATGCCATCTAATTCATACCGCAAGTCCATCTGTTTAAACATACTAATTTTGTCACACTAACTGTTATATGTTGGGGTTTTACTATTTAAAATGTTAAAACAATGCACAAGTTGGGTTTGTGGTTTTTTTTATATACATAGTCATGTGTAGATATTACCTCTCCCACAATATTGAAGACCAAAGAAAATATACTGTATAAGCCATACTACTGCAATTCATCTTTTTCTAACCAGTTGCAGCAACTATCTATATGTTGCTCTTTAAGATGCAGGCTAGACTGACTGAAAGAATAAAAAATGAGACATCTGCAGTAACTTAGCAAGTCAATAAGATGGAACTCAAAGTTTGTGTTTCTAGGACTAGATAAATGCTGCATTTATCACGTTCTATGTCCAAACGAGTCATCAAATATGGAAATCAAACAAATTGGGTACTTAATATCTCATTTTTCAATTTTTATCAAAATATTGTTTTGATTATATTTGCTTGTGTTACCTTGCTGTAGCTTGATCATTCACCTCAGTCTTGGATTTCTGAGGGGTCACCTGTTCTGATGAAAAGGCATACCTGCAATAGGAATGGTGGAAACATATTCAAGGCAGAAGAAGGTATTTGGAAACATATTATAGCATTTAAGTGAATTATTGTAGATATTCTATTTCTTATATTTGTAACTACAATGACTTCGGATTTTCTTTGAGAAACATTTGTCTGTTGTTTTCTTTAAACATAAGAAAGTTTGGGCTGTTCAGCCTGGAGAAGAGAAGGCTGCATGGAGGCAGCCCTCCAGTATTTGAATGGGCTCTACAAGGATGCTGGAGAGGGACTCTTCATCAGGGACTGTAGTGATAGGACAAGGGGGAATGGGTTCAAACTAAAACAGGGGAAGTTCAGGTTAGATATAATGAAGAAGTTCTTTATTGTGAGGGTGATGGGGCACTGGAACACATTGCCCAAAGAAGTGGTAAATGCCCCATCCCTGGCAGTGCTCAAGGCCAGGCTGGACAGAGCCTTGGGTGATATGATTCAGGGTGAGGTATCTCTGCCCATGACATGGGTGTTGGAACTAGATGACCTTAAGATCCTTTCCAACTCAAACTATTCTATGATTCTATAACATATAAATTTCTATAACATATATATAAGGAATGATATATGTATGCATGTAAAGAATATATATATCTATAAAGACCTAAGTAATGTTTCAGTACAGTTGATTGCTCCATTTACTAAGCCTTTTGAAAAATTAGTATTCCAAGACTAGCTGTTTTGCTAGTACGGATGTAATGAAGTGGAGTTCTTTACTGTTTCAGAATTATTTTGCTAATAAAGACACTTTAAAATACTTTTATACTAAATAGAATTTACTTATTCAGTAAAGACTAATAATTTACTTATTTAGCAAAGTATTTTTTTTTTTTTTAGAAACTAAATAACTAACCGACTTCATTTTCCCACTTTAACTTGTTTGTGTAATCAGTCAGATCAGTCACTACAGGAATACTAGAATTATAAGAAATTGCAATAATTTTAAGAAGGTGGCCAATAGAATTGGAAAGGAGAGTTACACGCTGCTTTAGAGAATTTTTTTACTTGGATGGCAACTAAAGCATGAGAAATTGTGTAGCTGCCTTAATTATAAGTAATGAAATGGCAGGTGGGTTAAATAATCTTGTAGACCATCTGAAATGCATATTTAATTAATACATTAATTTAATAAATCTATTTTCTAAAATTAGAGCAATCTTTGCAGACACTCAAATAAGTTTAGAGTACTTTATGCCAATTCATCTTATGTCAATGCCTTCTATTACAAGTCTTTGCATGTGCAGAGATTTTTAATTTACCACTTTCTTTTTCTTCACATTCCTCACACTCTCTTTTTAACTCTCTGTTTAGAGCATAGTTCAATATAAAGAGACATTTGCATTAGCAACATATATAATTGTGGAACTAAACTTGTGAAGCAGTTTTTAATTTTTAATGCAGTTACAGTTGATTTTTCAATTTGAATAAATATCCAGTGTTCTAAGCGATGAGAAAATAATTACATTTCTGCAAGGGAGGAAGTCTTAATACGATTCTGAGGACTAACTATAGAGGAACCGTCCCAGGTAAATTATTCATTCTTTGTATTATAAATAAATGTAAAATGATAATCAAGGTTTGTGCACATGAATGTGTTGCATTTATAAATCTACTAAGAAGCAAAATAAGCAAGACATACGTTGTTGGAGCCTCTGAATTTTCTGAAGTGGTCCTAGAGAAAGAAAAGAGTAAACAGTTCAGAAACCAAGTAGCAAAATGCTAGTATTGAAACACTTCTTTGCAAGATTTTAGATTAATCAACAGCAATTAATTTTACTTTTTTGTCCTTCAAGGTGGCATTTTGCTTTGTTTCTTAATGTGGAACATAACGCTTTCAACTCAAGTAGCATAATACTCAATAATATTCTTTGTATGTTATTAAGACAATCATTCTTCAATTAACATTCTCCAGTCATTCACTCTGGTCGATGATGGGTTTCTTTCAGCACACAATTCACAACCAAAAAACTCAGTTACAGTGAGATGCTTATATTTTTAGCTTCAGTTGCAGTTTCTTTTAAATGCTCTGTAAAGTGTGCTTAATCAGCTTGGAAATGAGGCAAAGCACTTTAAAAGTTTACATGTCATGCTTCACTATAGAAGATACACTATAGGTATCAGAATCAGAAAAGGTAAGTAAATATAAACACTGACCAATCCTCTCTCCCCTGAACCTATGATTGTTGAACTCCCTTCCTGAGCATGGCAGAACAATCAGCCATTCTCATATTTCAAGAACAGACACAGCTCTTTGCTACACCTGTCTTTAAGACTGATAGTGACCTTTAAAAACTGGTTATTAGCACCTATGCATCTTTGTTTCCTGAATCTCACTGGTGAGTAAAAGTCTAACAATTATTAGTTATAGTAATATTCACAGTTTGAAACAGCTTTCACATGTTCAAAGCACTTTACAAAGATAAGCAAAGAAATCTTCTAATGCTCATTTCTGTTTAACCAGCTGTGCTTGGTGACAGCATTGCTAGACGACCCAGGAAGGGCCATGAAATCTTGCGAATGAACATGCCTGTCTTTCAGTCATCTCTGAATTGAGAGTAGAGGAGGAACTGGCTCTTCATAATGCTCAGCCCTCAGTCAATGCTAGGCATCAAGCTGCTAAGAGCCCATGCCATCTTATCAAACTCAGTCCCTCAATAATTGCCCTGTTGGCTCACTCCCCAGATCAGCTTTAGCCAAGAATTAGGAAATAACTAGCCATCATGAGCACTTACCTTTTGGTTTCCAATGTTTCTGTTGTGGTTTTACTACTTGAAACTGGAGGAGGCATCCACGATTGCCTGTCAGTGTTAAGAAATATTTTTTTTAGTATTAATTTAATGCTATGGAGCTGAACAGCGTCCTATGAATGTTAGAATGTCAAAAGTGATGTAGAAATACCTGGAACTTTTCTTAAATTATTAGTATTTTGAAATTCTGAATGCAGATACTTCTTAGACCACTTTATTGGTTTGTTTTGTTGTGGGTTTTTTTTTGTTTTTGTTTTTTCCCCAGACAACTAAATGGAATTAGAAATAATATAGTAATTTTAATTATTTTTGTGAAAAAATGTGTTCTCTGACTCTAGGTTGTTTTACCTGCAATCTGAATGGTATAAATAAATGGATCATTCATGTGAAGGACAAACAGACAGAATGCACAAAGGGAACAGTGTCAAGCATCAGCCCAAGAAACACATTCAGGCTGATATTAGAGGTCACATAACCATTACAAGCACTTTCCCTTTTTTTTTTTAAATCAAAACTATTAATCCAGCAACTATCTGTGAGGGAAAAGCAATTGCACCATAAACACTGCAATTCAGTGATGGCTTTTCATATCTTCAAAGAGCCTGAAGAGAACTATGGGGCTGAAAACACCATAAACTTCTACCAAACAAGCAAAGCTGTCAATATGAAAATTATGATATTTTAATTTCTACTTCCAGAATTCTACCAATCACTATTTTTATACACGAAGTATGGAAATCACAAAAAAGACAGAATTTATGCCTGGGAAGGACACATAAAAATACAGCTATTGTCAGCAATACATTTTAAATCAAAAATGTAGTTCTTTCTTTGTTCTAAACCCTGTTTTTATTCTTGCCCAAAGAAATCCAGACTTTTAAAGCTAGCTGTTCATCATACAGAAAACCGCGTGGTTCATATGTGCTCAAACAGCACAGGTTTAAGTTTGGCATCAGATTTTGCAATTACAGTGAGCTAGAATGCTTTAAATTTAGACACTGAAAAGGCATATGTAGCTGAGTTAGGGCTGCAGCAAAGTGACAGCGTCTGTTGTGCTATGGTCCACCAGGCTCACAAAACTGGCTCTACAGAGATTAACTTTCAGCACACTACTCCCATGGAAAAAGCCAGAGCATGTAAAAGTTTAATTCTAGAAGCTTGCTGAGGAGTTAGAGCATGCTAGAGGAGAAAGTTGGTAATGCTCTTTTTATGTAATTTGACCTGCTCTATATTCTCCGGCAACCAAGCAATGCTGGTAACAAATACCTTTTTTTCTTGATTGGAGAAGTCACAGCAGTGTTTGTGGGTGCTGCATTAGAAGTCCAAGATTGTCTGTTAGGGAAATATAATTAATTCTTAAATAATTGTATCATTGTGAACAAAAAAAAGTCAAAAAGTTATTGTCTTCTCCTGTGTAATTCTTAATGTAACGAGAGTAACAGAAGAACAGAGCTTTACAAACTATTTTATTGCTCTTTGGCAGGAAAAAATATATACTACTTAAGTCTCACTGAGGTCCCATTTCAGAGTTCATGGTAGGTCTATTAAAAAATCATCTCTAGACAAAATAAGATAAAATCCAATTTCTATGATGTTTCATGTGTCATCATCACCATGATTTACAACATAATGGTGTAAAATCATAATTTAAAAGAATGATCTCACTTGAACTTTAAATGCCAGGGATACTCATTTGCTCTTCAGAGTAATATCTCAGCACTTCACAAGATGACATTTAATTGCTATGCTCAGCCATCACTGGCATTTATATTCATTGTAATTTATTATTGATGGAACAGTACTGACAGTGAAATATTTGTCCCTTTACATTTGTAAGTATAGTGGCTGAGCTCTTCTGACTTCCATTTTTTAAATAAAAATTTCAATCAGGTAAGAACTGTAAATCCTTAAGAAAATAAATCTTTAGTGCTGTGTAGTCAGATATAGAAAGTGTTTATCTCTGCATGACAGCAACTTATTTGAATAACATGTAAAAAAATTGTTAAAAAAAAGGTTATTTTAAATTAAAACTTGGTTTTGCCTTGTTTTAAACAAAAGACTGACCTTCTGACAAAAGAAAAGCCTTCCACTGGAAAAATCAGTTACCTTGTCTATGAAAAAAGCATTTCTTGTGTTTTGGTACTCAGGTTTCCTATTGGCAATGTTCAATGTTTTTTTCAACTGGAAACATTAATTGCAATTCTTTGCAGTCTTTCCTCAGCAATACCTGTTATGTTTGGTAGAATTCATGCAGAGAAATGTAGAGCTCAAGAACATGCCTACACTGAACTGTTTTCAAAACCCTCTTACTCATTCTGGTTTTGTATCTAAAACACTGTGTTTCTTAAATAATTGCTTTTCTGAGTGAATGTGTAACCTGAGGTAGTCCCTTTCTTAATCTATGTGGAGAAATAGGCATTTTAAAGGTAAGTTCTTCTAAAGAAAATATCTGAGAGACATCAGATGAATTGTCCTTCAAAAGACCCTTTTTCTCCTCATTGGCTACAAAAAGGGTCTATGATAACCTAGACATAGAACTCAGCATTTCAGAAGTCAGGTGCTGGAATTAAGCCCACTATTTGGCCATAAGGAATACAAGTAATGTCTCTATATATTCTTGGCATGTCCACATAATCAAAAATTATGATATTTTATAATACTTATGTGATAACGCATGATAAATGTTCCATAATAATTTATGATACATAATACATAGATGATTATGTTTCCAAAAATCATACCTGTTGCTCTCCTTATTATTCAGAGTTGGGGACTTATTTATTTTATCAGTGTCACTTTTGTCTGGAATTCTGTCAGAAACAGAGAAATTATTTATAATACACACTCTAGATATGAAAAAAAAAAAATCCAAAACCCCACTTCCAGTAATGTTAAATGATGGAGATTTTTTTTGCCCTCTGCACAGATTAAAAATTCCCCAGTATCAAAAAAAGACTAGAGCAGATTCTGAATTAATATAAATTTAGTTCATTAATATCTGAAGAGTTGAAGTAGCTCACTGAAAAAAAATGTTTTAAAAGGTGATGTTCAAACACTAATTGATGTACTATATCAAGCCTCCTTGTTGTTAACAGTTTATTGCAACTCCTTTGAATTAGACCAGAATACGAACAAAGCAATGTTCCATCAAGTAGCACAAACTATTCCCTTCCCCTCTCCCTCACCATCCCTAGAGAGATGCAACAGTCTGATTTTTTTTTTTTTTACAGCTTTTAGAGATCAACATTTTTTGACAATACTCTGGTGTAAAATCCCCAACAAAGCATGGTAGTGACCTACAGCGATAACATCTAGCAAGAAGTAAGATTATTTGTGCTTGAATTACTTTCATTAAGCCATGAAATTTACTCTTAGAAACTACCACATGATTTTTCAAGCCCTTTATAGATTCTACAGCTGTTGTGTAAATCCCAAATTTTCACAGAAAGCACCATGTAGCTACCATAGCTGAAACAGCTTAAGCATTTATTTTATTTCAACTTTGTTCTCTTCTATAGAATACCCTTTAATAAGAACAGTGGGACTCTTTAAAGTCAAATATAAAGTGATGTACATTGAAATAGATTATGTTACGTTAAATATTTGGTTAAAACAACTGATTTATATACAGAAATTTAAATAAATAAGTTTACAACTTATTTACATATAGAAATTACTTAATTTTAGTTATCTCCATCTATAAACTGAAGCTATAGATACAAAATAATTAATCCCAGAACTCTAACATTTTGCATCCTGCCCTCAGCCAAGTATCACAGAATACCGTTGTATTTAATGGAAAGTCTTCAACGGAGCTCTGGGACACAATTTGTACCAGCTTATGCTCTGTGCCTTTTTCAAATCTAATTTTAATTGGACAAATAACTATCATGTCACTGGCAGCTTCTGGCTGCGGCCAGCAGTTACAGTTACTCGAAAGATCACTAGAGGTCCCACTAAACTTGTTATAGCATTGCTGCAGATGCAAACATGAGTGTTAGTTCTAATTCACGGCTAACCGATGAACCACCATTTCTTTCATGCTTAATTTTGTGTTTTCAGAATTTCATCACAGTGCTTTAAGCAGTTCTGTATTTGCTCATTTTAAAGACTTGAAGGGTCCATCTGGCTTGCTACTCCAGTGCTGCTTAATTGTAACAGAAGCTTTGAAAAAAGTGAAAGAAGAAATGCAAGTATAATGTTCTCCTTTTCAGCTTCTGATAAGCAGTGGTTGAAGAATATCCTCTGCTTGCACCCAGAATGCTGTTTCCAGACACCTTTGGATCACTGATCCATTCACTCATCTAATGTTTTCCTGAACCAATTTAAATTTCTGGCATCCAGAAGATTGGGTGGTGTTGACTCCTACAATTAATCTACGTGTTTAGGGAAAAACAAATGCTCTGCTTTGTTTCTTTCTTTTCTTGTTGTTTTTTGTTTTGTTTTGTTTTGCTTTTAGTTATTACTTAAACATTTTATAGAGTATCTCCTCATTCTCACAGTGCAGCAAACAGAAAATATCCCCTCCTTACTCACTATGTCACTCTTTTCCAAGTTAAGGAAACTTTTGTCTCTTCAGACATTCCATATATGAAAGATATTCCATCCTAGTCATCATTCTTTTTCACCTTCCTCTTAATTTTTTTTTCTGGTTCTGTTTTAATTTCTTCACATAAGTGAAAGGCTGCATGCAGTGCTCAAGATGTGCAAAAGGGGTTCATACCACGACTGAACAGTGGTTTCAAAGGGTTAGATTATTAATAAAGAAGAGAATGAAAGTGTCTCATTTGCTTCAGTCCCATCTCTTCAGATTTAATTGCTGTAATTGCAGTTAGGATTTATTCTTCCTGGAAGCTATTCTGGACTCAGTAGTACTTGGAAAAACAGTAATGAAATTTTCATTGTCTCTATATTATTTTAATATTTCGCCCATCTTTTGTCAAATGCTTAGTTGTTAATAGTATGAGAGAAATAAAAGGATAAATGAGATTGTTCCTTCCATCCAGAAGGCTACCTGTGATTATCTGTAAAATGCAACTCTTGTCTGAGTTATGATGTGTAGATCTGCATGCCAGTACAAGCATATGTGTACCTACTGTCATCAAGCTATGGAGTTCTGCTAGTAACTTAACAGCTCTTGGTATTTTCTTGTGCTTGCAGCCAATGGTGCAATTTCATGTAGTCATCTGCAATACCTCTCCCAGGTCCTTAATACTGAAAGTGATGTTTAAATTTTGTAGATACTGGGTTAAGAAAAATTCATATCAAACAATGCTATTTTTGAACATCAACACGGCAGTCTCCAGGACTCAGAAAACTGTACTTAATATAGCTCCTAGATATGTTTTCACTGTCACATTTACATACACAATGAACTCAAAATTACTTCTATACTCCTTAAATTACTTTTTTTTAATTAGAATTTCAATGCCCATTTTCATTTTGAAAACTAGCTATTGAAGAGACATTCATCCAGACAGAGATCCAGACTCTTTAAATCCTTGTCTTTTGGAATATTACAGTCATGGCCAGAAGAGATGAAGAGCAGAGTTGTGAAAAAATATTCCAGTATCTACCTTGCAAACAGGTAACTCCTAAAGGTCTTCTCCTAAAGTACAGAAGACTAACATTTTACAGCATCTTAGATGATAGACAAAATAATTTTCCACATAGACAACATGACTTACTAGAATTCTATAAACAGCTCCAAGAGATCTCCAATACCAACGTAATTTTTCTCAAGAACTGTCTACTAAAAGCACTCCTTCAGACTTTATCCTACCTCCCAGGAACATGCTCTTTTTTCAACTCTGCCTTTTAGTTTTGAAAAGGAAATCATAAAAAAGGAATGTTTCTTTTTCACACAGAAAACTAAACAACCAAGTCCTGCAAAGTTCATGCAAGCTTGGAGACTTCTGTACCATGGTTATGTTTGCCAGAAAATAATTTTAAAGAAAAGGGAATTTTGCCCAATGGAAAACATCCTTCGTAGAGGAAGCAGGAGTACCAAATTGGACTGCAGGGTACAAAAACGTGTTAAGAGATAATACATCACCACACCTTGTAATGCATTAGGCTGCAAGTTTGAGGAGATGCATCCGTTACAGAAATGCCTGCTGGCAATGGGTATGTACAAATTAATCCTGGAATGGTTATATTCCACAGTTTTGAGAAGACCAGTAATGAGTAAGGAAAAATAAACTTCCTTATTGTGAACATTTCAGGTAAAACCATCATTATTCACTCAATTTATGGACATATTCTGCATTAGTTATCAGAAGTGTATATTCACGCCTATAATCCTCTTTGTATTCTCTGTCATCTTTTGCACATTAAGAACCCTTTATGTTAGATATTTGTGTATATGAAAACATAAAGACAATCAGCTTACTACCTAAAATAATTCAGACATCTTACTATCTTGGCATAAAACAAAAAGACATAGATAGGTACAAAAGGACAATGTGGTTCAGTGACACTGTAGAAACTGGAATTGTCTATGACTTCTTAATTAGCAATCAGGGTTTCTATGCATGAAAATCAAGCCTTAAATATATATTTGAAGTCAATGAAAATAAGATAAGAGTGACAGAGCTGACATATTCGAATTGAATTTCCAAAAACTTCATAGAAATTTGCTTTAGGGGCTCTTCAACAAAGTGATCTCCTATGTGATAATAGAGGAGGTCCTTTCGAGGATAAGTAACTGCTCCAAATGTAGGAAACACAGGTTTAAGGTAAATGACATTTTTTGAGACTGGAAGGAGTGATCTGTATAAGACTTGTGTTTTTCCATATGTTCATAAATTATCTAGAAGAGAAGGTGATGTTCCTTGCCAGTGACACTGATTCATGGTAGTCAAAACAAATGCAGACTGGCAAGTTTTTCAGAAGTCATCTGCTAACGCGTCAGATTACTAAAATGGCAGGTAGCATTCACTTTTCTTAGATGCAAAGTAATGCCTGCCAAGAAAAGCAGTTGATCTCTGAACCAGCTATTATCATTCAAGAAAGAGGCCTTGGAACTATATACAGAATGTTATAAAAATGAAAGATAATTCTCAGCACCACTCAAAAAAGCAAATTCAATATTATGAAGTATGAGGGAAGGAGCAGAAAATGGACCAGAAGCCATTGTACATATACAAGGTGTGTGCCCATATTAAATACCTGCATGGAGATTTGGACCCCCAGATCAAAAACACTAATATGGAAATAACAAGATACAAAGAAGGCCAGTAGGTAAATTGAAGTTAGGATGGTTTCCTCCTGATGAGTGAACAAATGCAGCAGGATTCAGCAGCCTACAGAAGAATCAACAGAGGGGTGATATCACACAGCTGCATAGCCTATTCTGTTCCAGGCTTCTATGGAGAAGGTAAATGTTACATAACAGTTTTTCATTGTTTCTTACAGCAGAAGTAAAGATCATCAAACAAAATAACACAGTGCTATGATCTAACTAAACAAGTGCACTTTTCCCACAGTGTATACTAAAGGGCTGTTACTCATGGCCTCTGCATGTTGTGGATACTGGATGTTAACGTAGGCTGAATTTTGAAGATGCAATGCAGAAAGAATCTGCAAACACAAGCATGGTCATGTCTTAACAGAGGTGAAGACTGAAGAGGACATTCAAATTAAGCGCCTGTATGTTAAGCATATTTGATATTTGTACCGATCATGGTATGAAGCCGCAGTAAAGATTTGCAAAGAACTAGAGGTTTAGCTGTGTTGTGCTTAACTATCAGAGAAAGGACTGTGATATACAGTTTGAAAGCAGGAAATGGGATGAGTGGTTTTCATCGTTGCAGAGATACTTACTTTTATGAGGACAAGAATGCACAGAAATTGATAGAGAAGAAGAGCTATATGTCAAAAGAACCTTTTCTCTAATCACATTTCCATTTGTCTCATTGGCAAATCATGAAGAAAAATCATTGTCTTAGGTGCTTAATAAATAACAAAATTTTAAAACCCCACTGATTTCATTCATGCTTTCATTTTTAAGACCTCTGCACAGGTATGAGAATAACAAACTACAATATGTACAGAAAAAATCCCCACCTGTCCAGGGTAGTATCAGACCTGTAACGTCCAAGTACAGCTTTCTGATCTTCCTTTTCATTTGTGGCACTGCAATAAAGAAGATTAGAAATGCCACTTTGGTTACTGTTTTTATTAAACAACTCATCACAAAAAAAAAACAATATACAGGTCTCAAGATATTATACATTATTTCAGACCACTAGGTGTCAACACATCCAACCCCGCATGAATTGCAATGATCAACCTAACAGTTCTTGACATTGGAGTCAGATTTATGGGGGAAAGATGCATAGACTAAAATTGAACAAAGCAAGTTCTTGCTGTAAACAGGATATAGTAAAAAGACACTCGGTTTTCTTTGACAATATCATTAGAAAGGTGTGCAGATTCTCTACTGTACCTGTGTAGGCTATCTTGAGATTTGTACTGGTTAAGCACAGCCCTTCCATAGTTTTCATCAGCACTTCAAGCAAAAGAAAGACAGTAGTTAGTTAAAATTTGAATATTAAAATAGAAAATTGTTTCTTGGCAAAACATTTCTGTCCTCAATCATATTTCACAGCTTTCTGCTACTACTATAATCACACCAGCTACAGATCTCTGCATTAGATGATTCCAGACATTTTGGAGTAAGAATAATCTCTTCCTACATGCTGTTCATGGGCTGAATAATGGAAGCCTGCTCTCATGGTGGAGTTTTTACTGTAATGGAAGTCCTAGTGTGTATTAGAGTGAATTTCAACTGATCCTGGTTTAAGCTCCTTAAAAGAACTTGCCAAGGTTTATAATCTTCATGCTTGTAAAAGGAAAATGTTAGATATTAGTCCTGCAACCTAGATAAATGAAATGTGGCATTTTTCTTGTAGAGCAGAAGCCTTTCATTAAATGATCAGCACTCAAAAGTCTCAATGAAAAACACAGTGAAAATCCAGCAAACTACTTCCAAAAGGCAATCAATACCTCATCAAGAAAAGCAAATACTAGTTATTTGATTAAATTAATGTAATTCCTGTTGATACCATTCATGAAAAAGTAGACACTCCAAGAAAATGTACATGGCATACTGAACTAAATGCACATATCTTTCTTACTTTTCCTCTTCAGGCCTCTTCTTTATCCAGCTGCTATCTTGCAAAAGGGTCCGTCGTTTGTTACTATCATGAGTAGCCTGTTGTCTGCTTTTAATTGCAACAGAGGGGCTCTTATTATCTGCAAATGCAGAGAAACATGTCTTGAAAAGGAACGTATGGAATAACTTTGGAAACTTAATGTACTATTAGAAAGGCTGAAATACGTAAATGTTTATCAGAGTTTGACTCTTCAGTTGTCATTCCTGTTTAGTGCACACAATTTGCTTTGAAAGTTTGTGGTTTAGTCACTTCAAACTAATTTGCAAAACTAAATTCAGTTTCGTCCTTAATATGAAACAGCTTCATATAATTTTAATGTAAAGAAATATCACAAATCTGATAAATTGATTATGAAATACACAGAGAAAAATAATTCCAGGAAAGTCAAACTAATGAATACTGTTTCCTGAGGCATTGCTTGTGGATTTTGAATATGCAGATGTGTGACAGGATGCAAATTTCAAAGCAAAGCTAATCTTGAGATGATGACGTGGTCCTCCACCTACATCCACAGCTCAGTGTGTGTGTATTTTCAGGTTTCTTAGAGGGGTCATGCTCCTTCTGAAGCTTTTTCCTCAGTGCCTGAATAAACAGTTCATTTTCTAACCAGCTACCTAGTTTTACTGAACTTTTAATAAAAACAATACATTTAAGACCTATAACTTTATGTCGAATTTAACTAAAATGGGTGTATGGTTTCACGTTATTGGGAGGAACTCCCATATACACTTACACACTGTGTGAACATGGAAGCCTTATTTACTTTTGAAAGCAACCTAAAATATCTTTGTCCAACAATGCTGATATTTAGTATGTTGAGTATCAATGATAATTTGATTTGTGAGACTATAACTTCCTCACTGTATTAGAAAGTTAATGTTTATCTCAAATTCAGTGACTTGTCCAATATCCTCAGTTCGTTTTCTTCCCACCTAAGTTTTGTATCATCAGCCTATTTGAAGTGAGGGGGAATATTGTTAGAATCAAAGAATAGAGTTGGAAATGACCTTAAGATCATCAAGTTCCAACCCCCCTGCCATGGGCAGGGACACCACACACTAGACCACGTCAATCAAGACTCTGTCCAGCCTGGCCTTGAACACTGCCAGGGATGAAGCATTCACAACTTCCTTGGCCAACCTGTTCCAGTGCCTCACTACCCTCACAGTAAAGAACTTCTTCCTTGATGTGATGTTTTAACTTTCCCCTTTAAAATGGAAGACTAGAAATTGAGCCCAAATAGAAAATCCATCTTTAGATTATGATATTTGCTCCACACCTTCCCAGAGAAAAGAACTTGAAAAACTAAATATGCAAAACCTTTGTCAATAACATCCAATTAATCAACGAACTGACTGATGAAGAATACTGAGTTTCTTGGATTTTCCTTTAGAGACCTCCATGATTTTCTCCAAGAGTTCCTCATTCCCTGAGTGTTCACACAAAAGGAGCTTAACACCATCAGATTTTTTGGAGATATCACTATCTGGTGTCCAGTAAGGACACTTAACCATAAAGATTGTGTATAGAAAGACCACACAGAAAACACATTCAGTCAGTATTAGATCGTTTGTCATAGCTGTGTTTCTGCTGTAATTTATAAGAAAATGTAGCTCTTGCTTTTAATATAAGAACTTCAGCTGTAGTACCAACATGAAAAGATGACAAATAGCTACAGTGAGTGGAAAACCAAATTATAATGAAGCACAAAAAAATCATTTTGACTGACAATGGTCAAGACTGACTTTTTTAAATACATTTTTCTCCTGAAAGCAAAACTCTGCAGTGCAAAGGTAAAATTCAGTCTAAATGTATATCTCACTGTAACCCAAACTGTGTCTGCTCTTATCTGTTGCAATTCATTGTAGATATATCTATACTGACAGTAAAAGAAGGACAGTGAACAAACTAAAGGATTGGACTCCTCATTCATGTTTGTGCAGCTGCAAATGTTCTCTGGCTCTTCTTGTGTTACACTGAGCTGCTAGAGAAGTGACAAACATTAAGAAGCATGGCTGTGATAACACGAATGTGTGATTCTGTCTCTAGGCCCTGATGCCGATGTTTGGCTTTCTTTTATGAGCAGTATAGATGCAGCCCTTTGAGGTCATTAAGAAATGAAAGGCACATCATAGATGAGATTTGTAAGAATGTGCTGACAATCACGATAGATTAAGAACAAAAAGTCATCTATCCTTACTGCATGATTTCTGCATCAGCCTGTTCCCTGACAATTGACCTAGCTTTTCTCTTAAAAATATTTATTAAAATCTGACTTTAAAGACTTCAAAAAAATGAAGACATCCCAGCCTCACTTGAATAGCTCCTGTGGCTCATTAAAATATCTACCTACATAAGCAAACTGAAAAGAAGTACCTCCACTGATTTAAACAATAGCATTGTTTCATAGTCACTGTCAAGAACTGAGATAGCTGTAACTAGCAAACAAGACTAATTTAAGTGCATTTGCTCTAAATATTTACTGTTTTGAATATGATGATAATACTAGCAATGTCGGGATATAACAGGATCTTGATATATTGGTAGAAAGAAAACCACCAACTTTGTAACATTCAGTAATCAAGGATTTGAATGAAAATCCAATATTAAAACCTGTACCTTCCTATTCTCATAAATATTTTGTTTGGTACAACAACAATATTTTGTTTGGAATATTCTCATAAATATTCTCATAAATTTTATGTTTGGTACAATCATTTGGATTGAAAACAATAATAAAAAAAGTTAATTTTGGAAAGTAGGAAAAAATGTGAGTTCAACCATATGCATCCCAGAGATAAAACTTCTCTATGGTGAGGACAGCTGATGGCAGCTAAAGGGGTGGAAATGTTTCCAGCATATCTTTCAAACTAACGGTTTTAGCCAGACGCTTTCTACTGTCCATAATACATTTTAATCTGTGTTCTATTGTCAGGCATAACCTCCTCTGAGTCTTGAAGAAAAATTCTTCAATGACACAAACATAATAGAAGAATTTCTATATAATCAAGAAGTACTCAGTATATATCTAACTATTGCAATTAAACTTGCATATACAGTATTAGCTTTTTTCCAATAACAGCTTAGGAAAACTATTATCTCTTACCCAAAAAATCACTTGGATTTCAGAGAAATTATGGCTTTCTTAATTGCTTAGTGCAATTAGGAAATTCTCCTATAAAGGCAGCAGCCAAGGAATATATATTGTGTTTTATTTTCAAGAAACATCAGAAGCAATTTGCTAATGCACGAGGCTTTGGGTTTGCTGAAGAGGACTAATTTTTGGTCTAATGAATTGCCTCCCAAGTTTCAATTAAAAAACTAAATATAGATCTGATACAACAGTTCAGGTCACATGAGCAGAGGCAGATGGATCTTATCCTTCTTATCTTGACAATATGAAGTTTATGTCCTTAGCATTGTAGAGCCAAGCTACTTCCCACCGTGGCTGCATGCATTTTGCTGTACTTAGGTTTGGCATGTCCCACTCAAACCATGTCCTCATGTACCTCAAACCCTTTCAGTCTTTAAAAGTATTTTGCAGGTTCCAGGGAAATGGAAAATTTCATCGCATTTCCAGTTTGTTTCTTGACATTTCTCTGCATAGAAAGCAAACTCCAGCCCTCCTCAAGTTTCGTCCCTCAAAAGGAACAAACAATTCTATCTGACAATGATTAAATAACATTTTTCTCCCCTCCTCCTCTTCTAATTTTCATTGATTTCTCATTTTCCCCAAGTGAGACAATGGGACGATGCCGAGACCATCTGTCCACTGCCTTCCAAGTTGCCATGCTCCTGTGGGATCTCCAAAGCAGCCACAGGGCTCAGTGGAGGGAACCACTGTCTTGCACCACACTGCCTGGTTCCCCTGCTCCAGCACACTACACTGCCCAGCATGGTGGTTTAGCCTGTATCTCTGCAGTGAAACCTTACAAACATCACTGCTAGCTTTGCGGCTGAAGCAGGTCCTGGTGTGAACCTGATAACCAGCCCATCACAGCTTAACAGTCTTGGTATGTCCTGTGAAGGAGTTGCATGATGAGCATGGCAATGCTTGGAAAGGAGAGAGGCCATGCCTCAGTCTGTAAGTACCCTAAGAGCAGAAAATAAAGAAGACCCAGTATTACCGCTTTTGTGAGGAGCCTGTTTTCGTATGCTGAAAGCTGACATTTTTTTCAGCGGGGTGTCCTTCTGTGGAAATCTAAGAGAAAACATGAAAAAAAACAAACAACAAAAAAAAAAAAAAAAAAAAAAAGAGTTGGCAGTGAGATTAGAAATCATCCTTAAAGACACTTTAAATTCATTTGCCATGCTGATCACCTCCTCGTGCAAGTTTAGTCTAATAGCAAAATGACTTAGCACCAGCTGCCAACCTCTTTGAACTGAAGCTCAGGCACAGAAGTGGCCTTTCTCTCCCTGGTGATGACTATGTGTATCCTTGCCCTGTGTTTCTGCCCGTCACGCTGCCTCTCCCTCCTTTGCCTTGTCAGGAGCTCCTTGTCTGAGAACATGCGGGGTGGTAATACCCTTTGGAGGGCAAGACAAAGTAATGAAGATTGGGGTGAGTTGATTAGCTTCATGGGAAGATGGTATCAGCTTGTGGCTCAGAGCAGTGCCTCAAGCTAACATGGGCTCACCCAGCCCTGCTGACAGGTCTCACAGCTTCCATGGCCTGCAGCTAATGGGGGGGTCCGGGACAGAAGTGGTTCTGCACTGCAGCAGTTTTCCAGTCACTGACTTCTTCCTTATCTCAAATCAGGTCAAAAACTGAGCCTCCAAGACTGACTGATTCAAAAAAAAAAAAAATTATTTGGGGGTTGAGCCACTCAAAGGATTTCATGTTATGCTTTGAAACTGGATTTTCAACATCAGCTTTCCTAGAGAAAGCAACAAGCAGAATGTAGCAACATTTCAATGACAAAAAATTCTCCCTTAAGTCAAAAAAAAAAAAAAAAGCAAAACCAATCCTAACATTGAAGAATGTGGGCAAACTGACCCTCCTAGCAAGTGAATTCCTGTTTGAAAAGCAGCATTTTCCAAGAAAACAAGGTTAAGCTGGGAAGCTCCACCAGCTCACAGGTCAGGCTGCTTAAAATTTACAGAAGCACTGGAAAACTTATTTTGTGATAGAAGCAGTCATGAAAAGCCAGAAACATTCCCGGTTCTCTTGATGACATAGTTGTCCTGCTTGCTTTGCAGACGTAGAGTGTATTGCTCACTCACTTAAAATAGAGTGGATTGAGAGCCTGGAGCCTGTAGCTGTTTCTTTACTGATGGAAGGTGAAAAACAATGTTTAATTTTGGCAAAAAAACAGCAAACATACCAAAAGTAACACTGTCAATAAACCATATAAAACTATGATTTACACACAATGAATTGCACTGGGAACAGATTTGTCTTTTTTATGTTTTTACTGCCAGACAGTTCCTAAAAAAAGTTTATCATTACCAAGCAAAGAAAGCAGGATACCAATATGGATGTAAACAAATACAGATCTTTTTTAGAAAGTAAATATATAAATACAAAAATAATGCTGAAGTCCAGAAGTCTGCATATATCGTACCCAGTCGTGAAATTCCAGATGTTTGTGAGGGTTTAAAATTCTGGAATGTTGATTGGAAGACCCTGACCACACTCCTTTCTTTAAAACTAAGTTGTTTGTATCAAGCATGCATCGGCACGGTGTGTGTAGAAAACATGTGACTGCTGGATCTTGTTTCCACTGAATAAAAGTATACTCAGGGCTATGATGAGCCTTATTTATTTTGCAATAGGTCATAAAATATCTTTCAAAGTGACTGGTATAAGGTTTTGAGCAGCTATGTTCTGCATTTCCCAGAAACCATTCACGTAGGTTATCAAAGCAATCATTTTTAAATACTAATCAATCTTGTGATAAATTTTCCTGAAATGTCACAAAATGATAGAGAGGACTCTGATTTATTTATGTTTTCAGCTTAACAACAGCTGGACATCTGATACTGGTTCTTATTTCAGTCAGTCCCATGACAATATGAAGCTTGACATTTCAGCACATTTCACAGGCAGTGAGTGCTGTGACTTTTTCATCTAGAGAAGAAGAAGGAATTTTTTCTAATAAAAACTTTTAAAGCCATTTCCCAAGGGAAGTGAATCATAGAAAATGGAGCCGCTTTTTGTGGAAATTAAACCAAATGTCATCATTCTAAGTCTTAGAAAATCTTGTTAAAAATACACATTTTGCAACTCAAATATTTCTCACTAAAAATGAGAAGAAACTGCTACGTAGACTTCATCTTATACTATCGCCTTCCTTTCCACAGATTCCTGATGGAAACAATTTCTCACAGAACAGGCAAGGATGTACCACACACCTTTGCTAAAATTAAACAAGAGAGCCTCAGACATTTGCTCTGAAATAGAAATTATCACCAAAGTAAAAAGTCCATACATTTTGAGGCTTGTCTTTAAAATCAACAGAATAACTACAAATGTATTAATGACACAATTCCTGCTTGTATCCATGCATGTCAAAAGAAAGTCCAGCAAGCACGTTTCTTTTATCCTCCATCATTTAATTAAAACTGTGTTTTGCCTCCGGTCCTGTATTAATTTTTTAAAATGTTTTTAGGGCAAAACAATATTTCTGCTGCACATATGTACAGCATCCAGCATAAACTACTACTTAGTCTGGCAGCTTGAAAGTAGTCTGCATAAATGAATATAAGAAACAGGCACACTCCCTTCTACAGTCAGCATTGAAAATGTGCCACGTATTCTGAAATTTTAGTCCTACATAATACTGCCACATTGTCCTCAAGGTTTACTTCTTGCTTCCAGACTTTCAAGTTGTATATCAAAGATTAAGCCATTCAAATTTAAAACATAAATTAAAAAAAATTTTCCTACTTTAATCTCTAGCGCAGATAATCAAGAATCATCAGAGTAAGATTTAAATTTAAGGATCTTGAACTGAAAAGAATCTTGCATTAAGAGGAAGAATACAATTCATCAAAGCATTTTTTTTTCTTGGTCTTCACTATTGTGGATTAAGTGTGTGTATCTGTGTATGTGGAAAGGGGAATGGACAGAAGATGTGAGGATCACATGAGTTTAAAAACTTAGGGCTCATAAAGATCCGGAACCACCACATTATTCAAACAGGTCAATGAACTGCTTATCTTTAGCCCATGGTTCAAAGGAGATTTAAAAATAAAAAGGTTGTTTTGGACTTTGTAAACGAAATTGCAAGATAGAGAAGTTATAGGCTTCTATAGTATACTATAGTAGTAAATTATGTTCAGGCATACTTAATAAGAGCTCAACCACTGAAGCAAAACAACTCAGCTGGAATGCAAAACAAAAACAAACAGGAATGCAGCTCCAGCATAATTTGAATTTAAAAACAACGTCGGGAAGCTTTAAAAGAAAATTAACACTGCCCCAGCCAGTCCAATAAGCAGGTCCCCAAAACTTTTAAGACATGCCAGTCCTGGATTCAGACCCTCTCTCATTTTGTGGGAAATCCAAATTCAGTCCCAAAGAAATCCAGAAAAACTTCAGACGTGACTTCAGGGAACGTCAAATGCCCTTCCAAGCTGGTAGCTAGTTATTCAGAAAGCAGCACAGGTCTCCAGTTCTGGTTTTATCATGAATAACCATATTCACATTTCTGTATCTCCTTTCCACCTCTTGTAGTGACTGACCAGCAGAAGACCTCAGGCCTGTCTTAGATTCTCAAAGCTAGACCTACTAGTTTTCAGCTCGTGTGAACACACCCATCCTTCCAATACAGAGTCCTCCTGCCTTCTTTCTTCTGTTCTTGGCTGTAGCTTTCTACATAGTTAGGTTTCACATGTATGCATTGCTGTATTTAAAAAAATACATAAGAATAACACAAAAATTTCCTGTAAGAATCATGTTCTCCACATCAGACTGAACTAGTTACAACCAAAAAAGTCTTTGTTCTTTGATTTCTAGCTGACAGTGATTAAAACCTTGTTTATAAATATTTAGTTGATATGTATTTTGCTTCTAATAATATCTTTCCACAGCTTAGAGGTACCACATATTACCACCCTATATATAAAGTAACTCAACACGAGTAGTGAGGGAATGTCAAGGGAGGTGAATCTTCTCATAAAAGTCAAAACATTTGTTTTTATACTGAAGTTTTTCATCTAAAACATTGCCAAATGTGAATGCCTAAAACATCAAGCTTCCTTATTAATGAACTGAGTGACACAAAAAGTTGTAGACGAACAACTAGTTTTAAGTAAAACAGCCTCAGAATTTTCCTGTCTTCCAGCTGCTCGTGCTGCATTGGATGGTAGAAAAGATACTGAGTTTGGCATGTCCACATTAAACGCCAGCAGGTGTCTTATACATGGCTCTACACAGCCACAGATTGCTGACTGATTTTCAAAAATATCTAATATCTGCCATATGAGAAAGAAACTTTATTCATCCCAAATGGGAAAACTTCCACCAAAATGTAGTATTTTTAAGGGATGTTCTGCTCAGAAGTAAGCTAAACATTCAGTATCTTGGGAGTAATCAGAGCTCAAAATTTTAAAATTATCGCATTGGAAATCTAATAAAATATTAGGAAATCAATTTCCCACATTCTTTGTGCTTTAACCCATTTGCTTGCTTTTCGTGTGGTCCAGGAGAAATTTTGGATAGAATAACTATTGGTGAACAAATAAAATGAAGGCTTGCTTCACCTTTACTGTTTGTTGGTTGGTTTGTGTTTATTTTCTCCCCTATTGTAATGGTTAATATTAAACCTATACTACCTGGTTTGTTTTAATTTATATGAGATGAATGTGGAGAATAGGGCATTTAAAAAAACCCCACATTTGATCTTACTTAATCACAGTTATGAAGTACACTAATAGTAATTCCTTGCCTTTAGTTAACAACTTTCATGTCAGGTCAGCAAATTTTGTTATCTTCTTCATCATTTTTCTTGAATATAGTAAGCTGTGTGAGCAAGAAAATGATTGAAGTCATTCTGACTTGATACAGGGTAAAGAACTCCAAGCCTTAGAAAAAAGGCACTGAGGAGACACATCATTACAGTTGTCCTTCAAGATAGGCATTCATGAGTCTGTGAGTGAAATCTTCCTGGTTTGGAAGTCAATATCAATTTTGCTGATCTCTACGTCTGTCATTTTTCCCCTCAGATATCAGAAGTGCTGTGACTGGGCTACCTATACTTCAGCTCAAATAAGAATTCCTATTTCCAAATGTGGCTGTAAATCTTGATTGCAGATTGTTTTCCAAATCACCATCACAGTTAGAGCCAGTCAAGGCTGTACCATCCTTCATACTTTCCAACTTACTATTTCAGTCAGTCAACCTTTAAGTCCCACTTTGTCAGGTGCAGTTCTGCATGTATAAACTGGGCTGTACATTTTCCCCTACAAAATTGTCACCAGTATCCAGTGCTGTCACTCAAGACTGTAGGCCAGGACATGAAATAGAAAGAACAATGGTGTTGCTAACTCAGCATAGTACCAAGTGTGTACGCAGAGCTTAAAAAAAACCCACTTGAGTATAATTTATATGCTTCAAAATTGTAAGTAACATTATTCTCTTTTTTTGGTTATTAGCTAGTCTTTTTGTCCTTTTGCTGAAAACTACAGGTAAAAATAATTACATTTATTTTGCAGACATTAAAGAACAACAAAAATGTGTTCCTAGAATGATTTTTTTTTTTTCCAGGAGCTGCATGTGTGGGCAGTAGCCATATAATACATTTGCAAACTTCTGGAAATAATATATTGTGTTTAAATAAGTACTTTACAGTTTAGGTCACAGAGTTAATAACAGCTCTCACAGAGAATAGAAATAATGTGTATGTCAGTGAAAGAAAAAACAGGCAAGGTTAGAACAGGCAAGGTAGGACTAGAGAATACATGAATGTGTGGCAGAGATCATCTATTTGTAGCTGAAAGAGCTCTCAAAACTGGTTTTTCAGGATGTGGGTGGAGGAGATTCTGTTTTGAAAGAAATTAAGCTTTGGTAGTATCATTAAATGTAAAATCAGCTGCTAAGCCAAAACCTAAATTTGTACATGTTTTCAAATTAGTAATATGTGATCAGTTTAAATTGATTCTTTTTTTTTTTTTTTTAATGGATTGTAGAAGGGGGGGTGATAATTTTAATTGGGTTTTTGGTTGGGGTTGGTTTTTTTTTTTCAACTCTTTCACTTTTCTAGATTTTTAGTAAAGAAACCTTCCTACTTATAAATGAGTTCACGTCATGTAAAGGAATTTTATTGTATCACAGGACAATGGGTACTTTTGCTGTCTCTTTTGCTAAGGTGGAAATGAAAACAACCTGTTGCAAATTTTTTTCTAAAATTATACATGTGAAGCAAATTCAAGTAAATGAGGTTTTAATGCTTTTTAATTTTAGATAAGAATTCTAAAGAAACAATAAAAGTAAGGAGAGTGCAAAAAATACATTAAAACAGCCATTCGTAAAAAAGTGGTCTGAGCAGAGAGCTGGTCAGCAGGGAAATAGCATTAGAATAAAATATAATTAGCAATATAACATAAATAATGAAGTAATTAAGATAATATGGCCAAGAGAATATGTCAGGAATCTGAAATGAACCTAAAATGAAACACTTTGAGAGTTGAATTTTCACAGTCAAGTTCTCCACACTTCTTGAAAATAAGATTCTTTGAAACAGGATCATAAATTGGACACTAAGAAATTACAGAACACCTGAAAATGTAGGACTTTCCATGCATGGAATATAAACCCAGAAAAGTAAATGTCCTTACCCAGAAGTTAGTGTCCTAGAGCGGCTCAGTATGGTAAGTCAACCTGTAGATACCTGAAAATGAGGTACAGTCAGGGCAGACAGAGAGCTGAATTGTCCTTCCCCATCCAGCTGTCTGAAAAGTCAAGAGGTTTCTCCTTCAGAGGCTGAGTCACTTAAGGAGGAGGTAGGAGGTGTGGAAAAGGGTGGCACCTTGTAGAAATACCAGATCAATTAAAAGTACAGGTGAGTTGTTACACTTCTGTGCTTGCTGTACTTTTCAAGTGCAGTAGGGCTGGGTTTCACAAAATGAAATGCTTTCAGACCTTGAAACAAAAAACCCAAGCAATTACTATTTGGAAAAATATGCTGCAGTCATTTGGATTTCCCACAGAAATGTACATTGCAGAGTTACAGGGCTGACTCTCAGCCAAAGGGTTTCAGGTATTTTATGCAGGTGAGCATGAAGAAACACTATATTTCATCAAAGGAAAATCTGCAGAAGTGTCACACACACTGGAATCCAATATGCATTAAGCATTTGCACTGTTCGAGTATGTGGGCAGAGGCAAAAGATCTGGGGAGGGAAACTCTCCCACACGAGATTTTGTTGTAAGTCTCTCTTATCTGTGCCCATCTACATTCTCCTTCAGCACACGCAGTAATAAACAGAAAAGGGAGAAGAGACTACCTTCCCTTTTCTTTCCTTTCTTTAAAATGACTGCAATACATTTCTCTGTAGGCTAAGTGCCTTACTATTAACAAACACAACGGCAGGGAATCAATAACTTCCTTATAGGAATGCTATATACAACCCTATGGTTCTGTTTAAGATACAGAATCTGTTCAATGTGTTTTATACAAGCCCTCACTTATTTTGTATCTGGAGAGCTTTTGTAATTAAATATGTGAGATGCCATTATGCAATATGGTGGGTAACCTTTGGTCCTATTGTCTTTTGTGAAAGTGAAGAAAACTGACACAAGTTAACTTAGTTTCTCTTTAGCCATGTTTCTAGTCCTTGCTTTTGTTGATGGTTACATCCTCATAGGCTTGGTACTTAATAGCATCAAGTTGTCTAAACATTGGTTATATCTGATGAAACAGAGCTGATGAAGCAGAGCAGCAGGCAAGACAATACCAAGTATAAACTACTAACTACCACACGCTTCAGAATTAATGAATACAAGCAAGCAAATATTTCTGAACTTCATACATCTCATTTCTGTGTTTCTCAATGTGAAAAATACCTGTAGCGGTCCTGGCATGTTCAGGTACATATTTTTACATGTTTATCTTTTTATGATCAAGAAGAAAATGTTGCGACTGCATCTCTTTACAGACATGCTACAATTTTACAACTGTGACACACATGCCTCGCAAATGAAACAGATGTCTTTCTTCATGAGAAATGCACAGTGGGAATTAGCTTAATTTAATTTGTTAGCCCATATCAGAATTTGAATTTTGTCTCCCTTATTCCCCAGTTGAAGCACATACAGTATTCTGGACACAGATTTTTTAGCAGTGTCAAAAAAGCAATGCAAAAAGTAGAAGTGAGTATGTGCCTCTGTATTGACAACCAGTGATTTCTAACCAAAGGATGTAATTTACCTAATCACCACGCTGGGCCGTGCTTTACTATTGATTTATCAGAGCTGAAGGAATTTTTTTTTTTAGTTCAAACAGTAACAACAGTAACTCATTTCATATCTACCTATAACCATAATGCCTCTATAATCTGCTTGTTGAGAGTTGGCTACATACTCTGCTTCTTCTTGCCATTCTCTCAAGAACAAAGAGGAACTTCTCTGAAAAATATACAAACATAAATGGCCACATCTGAAGCTGATATAATGGGATATAACTCCTCCAAAATCATTCTGACAGCTTGATTTACATTAGCAGAGTGCATGGTTTGATATGATTTATGAGAGAAAACAAGAAATGTCTTAGAATTCCTCCTTACAAAAACTTCTCTTTTAGATTCATTAATAACAAGCAGTAGGGACACATTACTGATTAATAATCAGAGGTCGCTATCTCTTGCTACTTAGAACTCTAGCATATTTTGGAGGCCATTCCTAACAAGCTCATTTTAAATAGCGTAGGCTTATTGGTCATCCAAAGAATTCTTAAAATGCCTCCTAATAAACTGCAAGTAGGGGATGCTGAATTTTAAAACAGAGCACTGGCAGAAAAGAGAACATAACTGGTTCAGAAATGCCATCATTTAGATTTGAATAGCTTATTCAGTGTTACTAAATTTAATTTACATTTTTAAGTACAAAACATGCTTCAAAATATTACACTACCGCCGCATCCTTATTGAGCATTTATGTAGATTCACAAGAGATAGATGGGAATGCGCAATGACCCAGCAGACAACTTTTTGGACAAATACCATTCTCTGGCTCCTCCCAGAAAAGGAGGAATACATTAGTGAATGCTTTTTTTTTTTTCATATACTCAGTCCTCCAAAAGAGAAGTCCTTCAATACTTTAGACTTCCCAAGTATGACTGATAAACTATTGTTTTCTGGGTTATAAGATGCTATTATTATAACTGTCCTTCCAAAAGATTTTAAGATATTCTAGCAAGTGCTGTTTAAGTTTTTTAGTTTCAAGATAACAGGTAAAATAGCTACATTTATCCTATTAAGTTAAACATCCCAAAGCCCAGTCCCAGACAACAAGAGACAGCATGGTTTGTATCGATACCACTAAACTTACTTTCCAAAAAGAACCACATGGCCTCATCAATGGTCCTATTGGAAACAGTCAGGCTTTCTAACAGGAGAGATCCATGTACAAGGGTTTTTTCAGAGATAACTAATTGGCAGGAACAAAACTGTGTCAAGCACTGTGCATTATAGTGGGATGGACAAACAGAGGCTATTGCTCAAGCCCAGGCCCTACCCCTACTTATTTAACTAGTATGGTCTTACTCATTCATCTGATTTTTCCAAAGTGAATTGTGTTCAACACAAGTCATGGTAAAAATGACTAAAACCAAGCACTCTAAAACATATAGCTAGGTGTTGGCAATGGATGATGACCAGCTTCCAGACAGCATTTAGCAGGCAGACACAGCTAGTTAATGTAACTATTATTTGGGAGGTGGGTTGCACATCTGTGCCATCCACACATTTTTCTTGCTTAAGCCTGGTCTAAGATCACCTGTATAAGTAGGCAGCAGTTCTATCAGGTTAAGTTAAAAGGAGAAGGGTCATTTAAGGAAAAAAGAACCCAGTGCAGCCAATATAATACTAATTAACATAGAAAAGGAAGTGGTGCTCAAGCATAGGGTGACACCTTCCTTTTGAAGGTGACTAACACAGGACTGCTCCTCCCTTAATTCTCAGTCCAGCCCTACATAAAATAAGGGGATGCTTGGACTTGTGTTACCTCTATGTACAGAGGTACTTTTCACCCCTGGTCAAAATAATTACCCAAGGGAACATCTTGCCTGTGGGTACACCCTTACTAAGAGGTACATATGACTCAGAACCAGACTAGAAATGGTTGTGTGAACCCTCAGCAGCATTCATCACTGCAACAGAGAAGAGAGGGAGAAATAAGGAGTATGATTATTTTTTTCTCCATGGGCAGGTTACTCCTATAGGATTTCTGTAACTTTTCCTTGAAGATTCTGGTCCTGCTCCTAGACAGACATCTCAAAATAAAAACAAACTACAGATGGAAACTCCCTTTCTCCATGGCATCCTAGTTCATATTAAGGTGTGAATTTAAAGATATATGAGAAATGTCCTCGGCAGCCTTGCAAAGGGCAGCTACTCACAGTGCCAAGTACCTGAGAGCCATTTTTAAGAATTTTATTCCTCCCTTGGTGCTCAAAAAGTCAGAATTCCTCTGCTTAATCCACATGCAAGGCTCATCTCCAAGCATGTCTAATCCTTTCAAAGGACACAATGAAAAAACAACAGCCTACCAATTGGAAAAGTCATTTAACCTATTTCTAACCTCAAGTTCAAAGAATTTCTCATTTTGACAGCAGCCCATCTTTACCAGCAGACTACTTTAACCACCAAGTTATAAGATATTTTTCACGGGAGGGAACACAATTGCTACAGCTTTTGTACTCTCTAAATATTCACTGAAGAGAGAATAGCGGCACAGCCCTTTTACTATAATATACAGATATTGGTCTCATCAATGTCTAAATTAATATTTAGGTATGACATATGGAATTCTTCTTATATTGCATTTTTCAGAATTTTATAACTTGAGTAATTAAAATATATATAGAGAAAAGTAATTTTGTAATATCAGGTAGCAACAGCTGTTGTGCAAATGAATAACAAGTTAAAGACACTTTCAAGGTAAAGCCACTTTCAAAAGATTATGTTACTGTTAAAGTGAGTACAACATTTCAGTAAGTCTGATGCGACACAGCAGAATGCCCAAGGGATTATGTTGTGTTTTACAGATTAACTTTTTTCAGCCCAGTTTATATTTCCTATTGCTATTGCAGGTTGCCATTCCTGGGGAAGACCTTTCAGCTGCTTAAAGTAAGGTATGCAATCTGTTGTTTAACCGCACCTTCCTGAATACAGGAAGCAGCACTGACAGGGCTTTTTCATATGCATTTTTTAAATGTGACGTGCAGACATATTTTGCAGCCCATTGTTCTCCCAAAAGGTGTGGCAAAGTTCATAAACTAAAGAAGGAAATAAAAAATGCTATATATAGCATGTAAAATGTCTAAATCTCTTCCCACTTCTAGTTGTCACAGAAAATGGCTGAGCAGTGGCTTCTGTTTTCCTTTCTAGATTTCTTGGCAGAGAAAAAAGCTAATCATGGCAGATCCACAATCTCCAATGTCAGTGGGCCTGATTTGCCCACAATTTGAATACCTATCTACTCTGCAAATGAATGAAATATCTTGCCGAAGCCTCTAAAAGCCTGGTCCATAGTATGCTAACCTTGTGTATCTTGATCTTGAACCACTACTGTTATTACCTTACATAAAGAACACAAAGCACCACTGATAAAATCAGTTATCTATAGAAAATTGTGCTAAAAATACAGCTAAATCAGGTGACATCTATGTGGTACCAGCTGAATGGCTGTAACCAGCTTTATAGTTTATGTTATTGATAAATAGCTTATTTGTTAATGAATTTTCTGTTATCTGTTAATGAATTATCCGAATTACTTTTCTCTCT